AGAGAGAGAGAGAGAGAGAGAGAGAGAGAGAGAGAGGACGAGGGAGAGAGAAACTCACATACACACGGGAACAGTATCGACGCGGGGAGATGCGCTCACAGAGAGGACGAAACTTATGGAGCAAGTTATTCCGCCCGCGAGAGACAGGCAGCGGTTGCGTGGCATAGAGCGATTTTGCAATCTTGAGGAACGAAAGTTGCGAACGCGCGCGAGCGCGCGACGCCCACTGCGTAGCGGCGAAAATACGCATAATCCATATGCACGACTATGGCCGCATTATAGCTTATCTCGGGAACAAACGAGCGACCCGGGAACGTTGCGAGGATGCAAGGTAGAAACGAGTGCCACGTGTGTGGAATCTATATGAATCTATATATATATATATATATATATATATATATATACACAAACATGTATGTGTATGTGGTACGGCATTGCGGCTCCGATATATAGGTTTCGAGTTGCCGCTGCAACCGGAGCGGATAGGTGCAAACTCCTCCTTTTACTGCGGATGGTGCAGTCTCTCTCTCTCACGGCCGTCTTGTGCTGATTTCGCCCTTCATTACGTAAGTATACTGCACACCACTGACGTTCATGCGCATCCGGAGGGCAATATGTAAGCAACCGCGTTGTGTTGACATGTCGGATAAGACCGCCTACGGCTACGGCAATGACCATGATAAATCATAGATCGGATCGAGGTGCGAGAGCCCAACGACGCCCGACATTTGCCCTCGGAATCGAAATTCCCTCGGCGAAATTGCCGTCGCGGACGATGTATTGTAATGCACGCGCTTTGTCCGGCGCGAAATTCAAGATGAGTCAGTCGAACGATTCGGTCAGTTTGCGATCATTTCTACTGGTAACGTAGTACATGAGAAGAGAACAGGATAGGAGAAGAGGAGGAAGAGGAGGAGAAGGAAGACGCGCGATCCTGCTCAGGAGAGCTTACGCGAAACACTTTTGGGGCCAAGATTAATCGAGGTCAAGTAAAAGCCGGTGCAATAGCGTACTAAAATAAAAGGAGGCGGAAGAGAAGGAGAGGAGGAGGAAAGAGGAGCGATGAGAATGGTAAACGGAAAGGAGGGGAGAGAGAGAGAGAGAGAGAAAGAGAGAGAGAGAGAGACGGAAAATTCTCTGGTTGGCCGCGCTTCCGACGGACCCGTACCACTGGAACGTTCTAATTGGCTATAATGTCGCCACGAGAGAAGGAGTTATCGCAAAGATTTAATATGCGACCATTGTCCAAGACGGCGCTATTGTCTATCTGCGTTCTCCCTCAAAGGATATCCGGCTGTCCGCAAGTTACTCGATTAAATGCAACTCTATTGTGGCCCTCTTCCCCCGAATTGTTTTCGATTAATCGTCCGTTACCACGATCGATGGTTCGCTCTCCGGAACAAAAATCTCTCACTGAGAATCTCTGCTCCTGGCGGGCAATGTTCACCCGACCCAACCATCTAGGAGAGATACTTCCGTCTCTCTTTCTTTCCATTAGACTTGGAAATAAATTTCTGTTGTCTCAGACAATTCGTAACTACTCTCTAAAAAAAGAGTGTTTGATATTTCTATGGTTATGATAGCGCAATAAAATAATTATAATCATCGGTTACTACCGTGACAAATGCTATTCTAATATTACTGACGATTTTGTGCATAAAGCAATTTATATGCATGTTTTTGGAATAATAAAAAACACAGTTGGCGTCGAAAATTACTGAGAGAAAAATGTTTGGTATTTGTAACTATAATCATATAGAGAAATAATTACTATAAATTATGGTCAAGACAACCATTTTTTTGTTGATTATACTATAATTTTAGTGATAATAACCTTACATGCATGTTACTACTACTATTTATGTGTTGAAGTAACCAAAAAGTATAATTGAGGTCAAATTGGGTCTCAACTATATTTTTTAGTTGTTCCAACACGAAGATACTAGTAGTAACATGCATGTAAGGTTATTATCACTAAAATTATAGTATAATTGACAAAAAAAATGGTTGTCTTGACCATAATTTATAGTAATTATTTCTCTATATGATTATAATTACAAATACCAAACATTTTTCTCTCAGTGTATTATTACTTCAGAGAGATTGACTATCTTTTCTTTTCTCCCAATGTGTCCAGTCATTTTTCCAAGCAGTTTTTTTTTTTATAGAATACATAGAAAAAATGTTTGGTTGGTTTAAACCAACTTCTGGTAAGTCAGGAATTATAGATCTATTTTTTTCAGCTGCACTGCTGCATGCAAGTAGAAATAAGATATTACAACTATAGGAATATTAATAATTAGAGACAGATAGAAATGAGAAATGGATGTGTGTGACTAAAGAATATAAATGTAAACCAAATCCTCCCAAGTGGCTATGTAAGCTGAAAGAAAATAAATATCTATATATGAAAGCAATTGTTTGTTCAATTTAAAAGGAATTTAGATTTAAGTAAATATGTTATTAATACCTATCGCGAATAAGCATTTTTCACTCTTTTTTAGATATTTTCGTCTCATTGTATACATATATTGAATATATACATATTTTCCGTTTAAATATGCATTTACAAACCAATACAATAAGAATGTGCAGGATTAAATACCTATCCAAAGAAAAAAGCTGTGATATTTTTATCTTCCTACAATTTTTCAAATAAATTTTTTCAAGTAGAACAGAATTTTTAGAACAACGAAATATATGATGTTGACAGCGAAATTACCTAGTAAACGTCCAGTAAACGCCAACTAATTGTAACACTACGTCAACGTCATAATTTCCCGTTCAACAACGTAACTGTTACATAACATCTATGTTACATTCACATTGTCGAGTGGGAAATTATAACATTGATGTTACGTTGCTCATACAATCGGTGCTTACTGGGCATACCTTGCAGTGAGATCAACAATGCTTTTCTCCGCACATTGCACGTATGTCGATGATTTTGCTCTGGTCCGCGTGGTGATTCGCACAGAAACGATTTTAAGACGGTTAAAGCCAAGTCTCTCTTGACATTTTCGTCCTAAGTGTTCACCGCACGAATCGCCGCGTCCCGCGAAGCGAGGACGAACGTATTCGGCAACTAAATCCGAAAGTGGAAATGAAAACGCCACTTGGAGGGAAGTTATTACGACCGGCGAGAAGGAAGTCGTTCAGCGCAGACACACGTTCTCATTCTCTTATACACACACACATATACACACACAGTAAGCACTTACCGGAATAAAATAAAAGTCCATTCGGCTGTCTCGTCTTGAACTGCAGGCTTATGGATTCCTGTGTACTAAGCACCGGGTCGCCTTTGCTCAAATCTATCGTAAGATACTCAGTTCCTCTAAAGGACGCCTCCGAGGGAGCTTTGTCTGTAACAAGAGAAAAAAGGAGTCGCTGGTTAATGAATCATTCGCAATTCGCCGCGGTTAAGTGTCTCTTTTTATCTCGGCGAAAACGTGCTAAACGACGAGGCACGTCCGCGGTTTGCTCTCGTAAATTCGTAAATCGCTGTAATAATAATAAGATGATCGGACATTCCGATTTTTTCGGGACAGTCCTGATTTTTCACCCTTTGTCCCGAATTCTTTCGAGTGCTATTTGGGACACCGGTTTGTCATCATTTTCAATAATTGTCAAATAATTTTCGGATCTTTTTATCCTCCCCTCCCCGTCCCTCGTCCTGCGCTTTACACATTTATGAAGTGTCCCGAATTCAGGACTGGGAAATCTGATCACTTTACATATTAGACTTTACATAGAAGATTACTTACAAATGACATTTTCATGATACGTCCCGGCGATCGCACATCGCTATTCTCGACACTCCCGATATTTATTTCCGCGCGTGACTTACTTTCGACGGGTTAAAGACGCGTAAAAAGGGGAGCAATATCGATTGATGTGTCCACGGCGGTTACTTGATGCAGAAAGATCGAGAATCAAGATCGCGCGATTGTTGAATTGCGCTAAAAATATACGCGAATATACGAGGGTGGTCTGAAAAGTTTCCGACCTCAACGTGAAGATAGCAGCACTTGTAAATAAAAGCTAGTGAATTTCGTTGTTCATCTGTTGACAGTTACTCACCGAAGTTTCAGCCATTTTGGACTCGCAGTTGTTATGTAACAGTCGTTTGAGTAAGTTGATGTGAGTGTTTTTGTGAAAATGGACAAAATCGAGTATCGAGCTGTCATTAAATAT